TTTTTTTTCAAATCTCTGCTTGAGGAGTACTCGAGTTTTAAAGCTGTACCTTCTCCTGTCTCCTTGGTCCCAATTAGGTCATGTAGTACAAGAGAGCTAAAGGAGTGGAGGGCAATTCAAATTCAGTGAGGGCTGCTAGAACTGTGACAAGCTGACTTTCCTGAGAGAGAGACCGACTCCAAGTCAAGTGTACAGTGAAACTGCAGCCTGTGGCAGTGAAGACATAAGTTTCCTTTTTGAAAGAATCATAAAACTCTGACTTTTGGGCCAGGAGTGTCTGTCATTGTTAGAGGACTTGCCTTCATTTGTAAAGGCTCCACAAAACAGACAAAAACCAACAGAAGCCCATAGCTTTCTAAGTCAGAGAGAAGTAGCAAGTGTTTCTATTGTGTCTTACTCATTTTTAACTGTCCTAATGATTTAGCATGCTATATTGCTATTTATTTATTATTTATAGCTGTGATATCTTAAATTTTCTAAATAATCCATCAGATGTGAACTTCAGCTTACTGTGGTTGGTTGAAATATAGTGGCGTCCATCAGTAGTATTTATATTGCAAACTTTACTTTTGGGTTGCTTGCTTATGCAGTAACTTACTCTGTATTAGAGATTAGAGTTTCTGCTCAGAGTGGCCGTCCTCTGGAAGCTGATATACCACCACACAACTGCATACGAGTACACACACACACACACACACACACACACACACACACACACACACACGTTTTCAGTTTTGTTTTACTTTTTAAAAGGTTTTTAGGCGAGGGTTTCTGTTTTGTTTTTAAGGTGCTGATCAGCCAGGCATGGTGGCACATGGCTGTAATCCTAGCACTCAGGGAGGCAGAAGCAGGTTCAAGGCTAGCCTGGTCTAAAAAGCCAGTCCAGGACAGCCAAGGCTACACAGAGAAACTTTTTTTCTTTTAATATACTTTTTATTTTTAAACAGAGGCACTAAGTTACCCAGGATGCCCTTAAACTTTGTGATCCTGCTACCTGTGATTGCAGCCTGCCCTACCAGGTCCAGATCAGAATTTCATTATTAATCTTAATAATGTGCCTCCCTTTAACTACAACTGCCATGTGCCAATTGCTGTGGTAGATGTTAGGGGCTTTAGACACCTGCACATGGTGTCCCCTAAAGCTTAAAATTCACTGTAGAAGACAGATGAACAAACGAATAGTTAGCTATTAGTGAGAAAGAACACATTTGACAAATACGGCAGCAGAAGGAACCACAAGTTATAATGGAGTTTTTCCCTGTAACTGCACTGAGAATGGTAAGCCAGTTTTTTCTCTCCCCAGAGACTTTTTTCAGCTCATGTGGAAGTTTACACAAACTGAGTGAAGAGCCACTAATTCCTCCTCCGCTTCCTCCTCGGAAAAAATTTGATCATGATGCTTCTAATTCCAAGGTAGACATCTAGACCTGGGTTTTCCTCAACTTATGCCAAGTTGTGAAATCTTCAAAATAGTACTCTTATTGAGCCACAGTCTATGAATCTTCAAAATTTAGATTGTCATATTTGAAGAATACTTAAGTAGTTTTAAAAACTTAAAAAGAAATGGAAAAATTATCAGATAATCAGAAGTACATTGTCTTTCTTATGTAGATGGGGGCAGGAAGTAGAATTCCAACTTGAAAGAACCTGAAAACTTTAGACCAGTGTTTCTCAAATGTAAGGTTGAGCCCAGGTTGTAGGACTGTCAGCTGGGCCTGGGAGTTGGCTGTGCTAAGCCATCCTCTACTGGTGCTGCTGCTGCTGCTCCCTGGGTCACAATTTGAGATCTGTGATACGGGGAAAAATAGAAGATGTTCAGTGAGTAGTAGCTAGGTATTAAATGCTATTGCTACCATGTCCTTTCATGACTATACAACTATATTATTTTCACTGACCTGTTGCCATGAATAAGCTTTATAAATTTCTGAAATGTTAGAAACAAAGCAAGATGATACATAACTTTATGTTTTAAGGTGCAAACCTCTTATATATCCACATGTTAAACTGAACCCAAATTAAACTGGAAGTAACTAAGTCAGGAACCTAAAAATTAAACCATATTAACTTAATTTGAGCCTCTAGGTTTAACTTGACACAGAATTTTTTCATTCTTTTAAAATTATCTTGTACATCTTCCAAGAGACTATACATGTCCCTTTCTATTCTGTTTAGGGAACTATGAAATCTGATGATGATCCTCCTGCTATTCCTCCAAGACAGCCCCCTCCTCCAAAGGTAAAGCCAAGAGCTCCTGTGTCCGTGGGTGCATTTGATGGGCCTGTGCACAGTCCACCTCCACCACCTCCGAGAGACCCTCTTCCTGATACCCCGCCACCAGTTCCTCTTCGGCCTCCGGAACACTTTATAAACTGTCCCTTCAATCTTCAGCCACCTCCACTGGGACATCCTCACAGAGACCCAGACTGGCTTAGAGACGTTAATACGTGTCCTAATTCACCAAGCACTCCTCCCAGCACTCCCTCTCCACGAGTACCACGCAGATGCCATTTGCTCAGCTCCAGTCACAACAATCTCACTCATCCTGCCGCTCCTCCTGTTCCACCAAGGCAGAATTCAAGCCCTCACCTGCCAAAACTGCCACCAAAGACTTACAAACGGGAGCTTTCACACCCACCATTGTACAGACTGCCTTTGCTTGAAAATGCAGAAACTTCTCAATGACCTTGGCCACGTGTAGTCATTGACACTGGAATAGTGTTTGTAAAGGCTTTTAACTTATTCAAAAAAGGCATAGTATTTTAGTACTTTTTACAGATAATGCTCTTACAAAAATGCTACTGATCAGATAAGCTTTTGAGAATCAGAAAAATTGTCAGGCATGGTGGTGCACACCTCTAATGCCAGCATTCTGGAAGCAAAGGCAGGTGGGTTTCCGGGTTTGAGACAAGCCTGGTCTACAGAGAAAATTCCAGGACAGCCAGGATACTACACAGAGAAACCCTGTCTCAAAAGTTAAAAACAAAAAGAAACAAACAGAACGAAAGAAAAGAATTTGAAAAATTAAAATGCAAAAGCCCTTCATTATAACCCTCAGGTGACCAGTAGCATTGCCTTGCCCCAGCTCCTCAGTGCTGCCCAAAGGCCAGTATAATGAGTTTCTGTTTGCACTGTAGACTCTGCTAAAATACGGCTTAAAATGATACTGACTGCACTGAGAGGGGATAGCATTCTTGAGGAATTTCTCGAATTTGAGTAATAGATGCCTTTTGAAGGCATTTATGCAGATATAGAGGGTGTGTTGTGGTGTTACTAGTTTTAAACCCTCTTTGATCATCTTCTAGCTTTTAACTCATATGTTTTTACATCTAGGAGAATTATGAATAACACCCACTGTTCTTAAACTCTTTGAGGCCATGTCTTAAATGCCAGTATTTGCTGCTGAAGACAAAAATGGAAAATAGAATGGAAATAATAGAATGCACTGTTTATTATTTTGTTAAAATTATAAACAATTCTACATAACCTGATTATAGAAGCAAGGGCATGTTTCTCATTAAGATGTGCCTTTTGTTTTGCAGTGTATGGTGTCTTGAGCTAATGATTTGCCTATGTTTGGGAAAACAAAGTTAATATGCCATGTATATACAGGTTATTTATATTGTATATATTTAAAGATAATGCTAATAACCTATATAAATTTAAGTGGCTTGAGGCCTATAATACAATCTGCTATTTTACTAATTTGTAAGTCCAGAACAAAAGTTTCTTATGGCATAGGAACCAACTGCCAACTGCCTTGTCTTCAAAACCCATTAACTTTCTGTAATCTCATGTTAACTGAAATTTTTTAAAAGTTTTTCCAGATTGGTAATATTTAAACAGAAAATACTTAAAAGCTTTATTAAATTTTTTAATCTGACGGAGGATAAAGCTTTTGCCATTTGGACACTCTTGTTCAAAGTGATCAAAGTATGTTATGCTAATAGCGCAGCAGCAGCAGTTGTAAAGTAGCCAAAAGCCACGTTGTTCATCTACTGGTCTGTGGCCTTTTACTGTGCTTTGTATCAGAGTTCTTAACAAGATTAATAAATCACCTCAGTCTTAATTTTTAAAAGCTTTGCAATATTGTTTTTCATCAACAAGAACTAGAAGAAGCTGGGTACACTGGGGCATACCTGTAATCCCAGCACTTGGGAGGCTGAGACTGAAGGATCTGGAGTTAAGGCTAGACTCAACTATATAATGAGTCTGAACCTACTTGGGATATAGGAGACCATCCTGAAAAAAACAACAATAAGCAATAAAGCTGAAAAAAGAAAATCTAAAAGAATGAATCTATCATCTATCTGCCTATCTATATCACCTACTTATCTATTTATTACATTTGTGTGTGTGTATGTGGTGTACCTACCATGGATCAATGTGAAAGGCAAACCTACTACGGGAGTCCTGGGAACTTGATCTTGCTGGCCATTTTTTTGGCTCCAGGAGATGTAAATGTTGAAGGATTAACTTTTCTTTACCACTGAAAGCAAGCCGCGAGTTCCCAGCCACCACTCTCACGCACTCATATGAAAAAGAAGTTGTACACTAGGAAACTCCGTTTTCCCAGTTTTTGATAGGACCTGGAACGCTGCCTAGATCTATAGCCAACAGCTTTGTGTGAGCCATTCCCAGCTAGGTTTCAAACAAAACAAAAACACTGTCGTTGGCTTTGTGCCTTAAAGTGCTAATGGCAGTAGCAGCCGGCTGGGCCACTCCGAGGTAGGATCACCTGGCCCCTGCCGCCTTCTTTGGAGACGTTGGAGACTCAGGCATGCGCGGTGGACAGCCTCTGGGCAGCCCGGGGCTTGCGCGGCGTGACGTCACCACACGGCGCAGCCTGCGGCGGCCGAGGGCAGCGATGGCGGCCGCCGCGGAGCCGGCCGCGGAGGACCCGCTGTGGAGCTTCGTGAGGGTGCTGGAGAAGCGGGACGGGACGGTGCTCCGACTGCAGCAGTACGGCTCCGGGGGCGTGGGTTGCGTCGTGTGGGACGCCGCCATCGTCCTCTCCAAATACCTGGAGACGCCGGGCTTCTCTGGTGATGGCGCCCACGCGCTGAGCCGCCGCTCGGTGCTGGAGCTGGGCTCCGGCACGGGCGCCGTGGGGCTCATGGCTGCGACCCTCGGGTAAGCGCTGGCGGGCAGGCGGTGGTCGCCCGGCGGCCCGTCACCGGCGTGCGGCCGTGCGCCTGTACCTCACTAGAGGTTGTTTTTTAGGGCAGATGTTGTAGTCACTGATCTTGAGGAGCTGCAGGACTTGCTGAAAATGAATATTAGTATGAACAAGCATCTTGTGACTGGTTCTGTTCAAGCCAAGGTACTGAAATGGTTTGTATGGCCTTTCAGCTTGTTTTCAGATAACCGCCTCTGCGGGCTTTAAATTGCATTTTGCCCAACGCATGCTTAATAGGAGGGAAACTTCCTGCTTCTTGTGTCCAAAACGAATCCTTTAAACCGTTAAAGCGTCAGTTAAAGACTTATGCTTGACCTTTTTAAGGGGGGAAGAAATAGAAGACTTGACGTCACCAGACTACATACTGATGGCTGACTGCATATACTACGAGGAGGTGAGTGCCGGGAGATGAACTGCACCTCACGTGGCCCGAGGCCCACGGTTGTCCGCACTTTAACCCCTCTGGTTGGGGGTTATCTGCATGGATGATGAGGCAGTAAAAAGATGACAAACGTCACCAGCGTCAATACCCATCAGGTTAGGATAAGCTTACGGGTCTGTGAATAGTGGTTGAGAAAACTTCAACATTTAAAAGGATTTTTCCCACTTGGATATATTATGAAAACTAAGATACCTTTTTGCTTGGTTGGGTTTTTTTTTCTTACCTTTCCCAAACACTGACTGTTAACCATGACGTTGAAATTAACGAAGATGCAAGTCAGGAGTGGTGGCTCACACCTTCAATCCCGCACTCTCTCTCTCTCTCTCTCTCTTCCTCTCCCTCCCTCTCCCTTTTCCCTCCCTGTTCTTCTCTCCCCTCTCCTTTCTCCTGTTTTTTTCCAAGACAGGGTTTCTCTGTGTATGTAGCCTTGGCTGCCTTGGGCTCTCTTTGTAGACCAGACTGTTCTCAAAGTCAGAGATCCACCTGCCTTTGCTTCTCAGAGTGCTAGGATTACAGGCGTGTGCCAGTGCGCCGATGATTTTTCATTGCATACCGTTTTACACAGTGTTGGGCATTATTTATTTTTAAATTGATGCCTTGAACTAACTGATGTTCAAATTAGGGTCAGGAGGCTGAAGAGGTGGCTCGGCAGTTAAGAGCTCATACTGTTCCCGAAGACCTGAGTTCAGTGCTCAGCACCCACATCAAGCAGCTCACAGCCCCTCTGTAACTCCAGGGGGATCTAGTTCCTCTGGCCTCTGCAAGCGTTGTGCACATGGGTCATACACAGACACACATACACACAGTTAAAATAATAAAAATAAATCTTAAACCACTAGGGTCGGGCTTACTTTTGTGGAATAAATTGTTTAAATACCACATTAACTTAGATGAGAAGAAATTAGACTTCAGATTTGAGTCCAGCTTGGCATGGTGGCATGGGGTAATCCCGGCACTTGTGAGTCTGAAATCGAAGGACCGCTGCAAGTTCAGTGTCAGCTGGGTCTGCATGGCTAGGCCCTTGCTCAGAACAAACAAAAAAGACAGGAGTCAATAACAGGAAATTCTAGACGTAATAAGCTGAAAGTTGTACTTTTTTTTTTTTTTAATAGTCCTTGGAACCATTGCTGAAAACATTAAAAGATCTCAGTGGATCTGAAACTTGTATTATATGTTGTTACGAACAGCGTACGATGGGGAAAAATCCAGAAATTGAGAAAAAATATTTCGAGGTGAGTATTGTGTTAGGTCCGTCTTTGTAGCAGTTTCCCTCCAGGGGAGCTGTATGTGGTTGGTCCATGTCTCAGGCAGTTTCATTTGGGGAAAACATTTGATAAGAACCCAAGGAGAAGGCCTTCTGCAGCAGCCATCCTCACAGAGACCTTTCCAGTCTTGGAGGGTTTTTCTGGTCTCACTAGTCCGTACTGTTCTACAGAGCAGTGTCGAAGACTGCTGATCCCAACCTTGTCTTTTTCTGAGACAGTTTTCAACACTGTTAAACAGTGTTCAAGACTGGCTTGGGGAGCTTATCAGCGGTGTGTTTTAACAAATACATGATAGAAATGTGGAGGCGATCAATTTTACCTCTGTGTTTTTCTTGCTCATTTTACATAGGTAACGCTTTTCAGAGTTTTGTTGTTTGTTTTTAAAGTTGAAAAAGAAGTGCCTATCTTCCCTCTCTTTTATCTGTCCTTCATTCTCCCCCAAGAGGTGATCCACACCCTGTTATGGGCATGAATTCAACCTCTTAAAAACTGGCTCATTTTGAAGCTATAACTGTGTAGTGTTGAAATTTTGTCTGCTGAAAGGACTTCTTTGGCTTGATGACAAAAGCAAGTATATGGCTCCCTGAGATAACAAATGGTTAAATATATTCTGTATTTTTCATGACTATGGGAAAATGTTACTGGACTTTTGAAGTTATGTATAATCAAAGTTAAGTTTAGTAACTTGTATTTATTTAAAACATGTAAAGTACACATACATCAGGTTCTCAGCTCATGCATTTTCATCCAGATAACTGCTCCAGCATAAAGATACAGAACATTTCCTGGCTTGAGAAGGTTTCCACGTTGCCCTTACCAGTCAGTCATTCTCCAGAAGCGACCGTCATCCTGACTTCATTACCATAAATTTGTCCAAATTACTGAATTTAACATATATGTCCTTTAAATTTATAGCTCCTTCAGCTAGACTTTGACTTTGAGGAAATTCCTTTGGACAAACATGATGAAGAATACCGAAGCGAAGACATTCATATTATATACATCAGAAAGAAAAAATCAGTACGTGCATTCACAGTTGTCCATACTCTGAGATTTCATCAGCTGATTCGTGCCTGTGAGCTAAGCATGGTCAGTGGCAGTGCTGGCTGGCCGCGGCACTGGCACTCAGAATTTCCGTCACTTACCTGACTCGCCTTATGTTCTTGGTCACAACCCCAGAACTCAAGAAGTGGAAGGCTGTGCAGCTGGAGGCCAGGCTGGGCTTCATGGTGGGACACTGTCTCAAAAATTCTAAGGCTGGCTTTGTTTCTGCCATCCGGGGAAGGAACCCGTGGCGTTGCACATGATAGGCAAGCCGGGAGCCATTGATCTAAACCCCTAGTCTGTAGGCCCCTCTAAAGTCCTTTTCTGTCATAAATTAAATGGCTGTGTAACTTGAGTATGGCCACCAGCAGTCACTTGCAGACAGTGAAACACAGAAGAGTTTAGCTTGGCTCACGTGAGTCCTGGATGTGGGTAGCCTCATCTGTTGAGTCTGTGAGCAAGCTGTAGGGGATGGCAGGAGTGTGCCACAAAGGATTCTCACTTACCTCCTGGCCGAGGATGAACAGGAAAGAAAGGGAGGAGCATGCGCAGAGGACAAGAAGACCCGACATTATACCTCTCCCTCGGTGCTCCCAGCACTTCCCAGCGAGCCTCGTGCTGGGGACCAGACATTTGATAACATACGCCTCTAAGGGGCATCTTCCCAGACTATGGCACTGAACATTAATTCAGACAGGTAGCCGATTTGCTCTTTGTAGTTTCCGCTTCTCTCTCTAACTTTTTAGAAGGCTAGTTGTAATTTTTTCCCTTTAAAAGGAAAATGGGCAGATTGACCTGGAAAAGAAGGGTAGCCTCAGTTAAATAGAACTTAGTGTGTGGTCGCTGTTTTGGTCTTTTTCCTGCCCTAACATTTTATGTGGATTGCCTCCGTTGTTCCTGCAGTCCAAGCCTGTGGAATGGAAGAGCGTGTCTCCGTTTTAGAGATGTGACTGCCGTAAGGCAGAGGCATCAGTTTGGCTAATGACGCTAAAATTTAGTAAACCCCACTGCCTTCTGATGATTTTTGCCTTGCTTGAATTCAGTGAACAATGAAAACATGGTTCACTGTGTTTTCTAATAAGGATTCTAGCCAAGAGCAGATACAACACAGAGTGTTAGGGACTCAGTCCAAGGAAAGAAGGGAGAGAGGATTATAATTCAGATTGGTGTTGGTGTGGAATGTATTAAAAAGGCAAAGAAAATACATTTTGTGCCTGAGGGTTGCAGTACTTGCCGAAGCTGCTGTGCAATTTAAAAAATGTAGACTTCCTTTTTGAGGCATAAATATTCTTATGTTTCTAAATGTAAAGGGTTGTTTTCTTTTCGCAAAGACCTGTTTCCTTATTAAATTGATAGAATTCTCATTCCATAAAATTTACTGTTTTTTGCTTTAAATGCTTTAAAAAAGGATTTACCTCGGGGGTTTTAGCATATTCAATTGAATAAAGCACCACTTTGTAATTCTGAAGTGTTTTCATCATACAGAAGAGAAATGCCTCTGGCCTTCACTCCATATTCCTTGTTCTGCGTGCTCTGCCCAAGTGTACTCTCCTTGTGTTTACGCTTGTGTCTAGCTCCTTTCATTCAGCAGTGTTGGGGTTTTTCCATGTAGCATGCCTCACCTTACACTCCTTTCTGTGTCTGGTTCAAATCCTGTGCGTGGTTCTGCCCATGCCATCCACCCAGTCATTCAGCAGCTGGTAACGTTCCTCTCATGTGCCTCTCATCCAAAAGTAACAGTGCTGCTGTGACCATCTTTGTGTGTGCGTTTATCTTGGGTCTATCTGAACCTAGAGGCCGAATAGGTATGGTGAAGAGTCAACAAACTTCTGGAGCTGCTGTACTGTTTCTATATTCTCACCATTATGTGCAAGAGCTCTGTCACTGCCGTATGCTCACGAATGCTTTTCACTGTCTGTTGTTTTGACTGTAGCTGTTTTGGTAGATGAGGTATAGGATTTCATAGGTTTTTTTTTTTTCCCTTAGTAATTAATAGTACTCAGTATCTTCCTGTGTTATTAGAGAAATATTTGCCCATTTTTAAATTGTGCTAAGACTACCTATTTATACCAGATGTATGATTTACAAATAATTTTTCCTATTCTGTCAGTGTCTTAAGTTTTCTGATAATGTAGTTTTTGCAACCCAAAGGTTTTTAATTTTGATAATATTCATACATCTGCTTTTTTCTTGATTGCTTTAGATGTCGGCTAAGAACTATCTGTAAACATTCCGTGTGATTGTTCATTTGAATTGTGTTTAGACACTCCTGGATGCATTGCATAGTATAGAATATTCAGGAAATACTTGGTGTTGGGAAATTCATGTTTAAACCTCTCCTTTTTCCTTATAGAAACTGCCATCATGAAACCCTCCTTCTCTTTCATCCTGCGCACGTCCCTAACATCCCGGGTACAGCTGTGACTGGAGCGTGTGCATTCAGCATGGGAAGGTTGCATTTACAAATTTCTCCAGCACGTCCTTCGAGATCTGGCTCATGGGTGATGACCACCATGGACTGCCTACAATGTGAAGTACCTGCCTGCCCGTGGGCTTGACGTAGAACTTAGCTTTACTCAGCTCAGCGTCAAGTTCTGCTTTAAAAGAACATTGACAATCACGCAAGTAAAATAAATTTTGAGGGTAGCCTCAAGTTCTGAAGCAGCATGGTTGACTCAGTACATTTTCAAGAAACTAGAGATAATTTGATCCAATTTCTATTGATGTCTAACTTTACTACATAGTAATATTTTGAGGGCTGGTTGTGGTGGCGCACACCTTTAATACTAGCACTGGGGAGGCAGAGGCAAGTGGATCTCTTGAGGTCCAGATCAGCCTGGCCTACAGAGCAAGTTCCATGTATAATAAGAACCTGTCTCAAAACAAAACAACAACAACAACAAACACGAATGAAAGAAACAAAACTAGAGATAAGTTGACCCAATCCAATTCCTAATGATAGTTATCTGTTTCTATATAATAATGTTTAAGTTGAAAGCAGTAAATTTTCAAAGGCAGCCTCTTACTTTTACATAGTTGTGCAGTAGGTTTTTTGTTTTGTTTGGTTTTTCTTGTGATATCTTTAATACTTACATGTTATTTTAAAAGTGGCTGAAAATATTATCTTGTTTCTTTACTGGCCAGAGTGTTTATCATCCATCACAGATAGGTGAGTGAATTAGATAGTTAAGTATATTGTAGTGAGTCTCTAAGAAGATGAATGAGGAGACCAAGAGAAAAGCTATCTCAGAAGGAAGGCGTGAGAAAAGAAAGCCAGTTGCGGGCTTCTGTGTTCACATGGTTGGCACAGTTTTTCTTGTGTATGCAAGAAAATCTGATTTTAAAATACCAATATTAAGACATATATCATGATTATATGAAACTGATTTTTTTTTTTTTTTTTTTTTTTTTTTTTTGAGCAACTGAAAATTCTGTGCACATTTTTCAAATGTTTTTGTACGGTGTTGTCTCCAGTTTTTGTTCCAGTAATCATCTGCTCACATAGACTTATCTGTCGATGTCTTGACACTGGTTCCAAAAAGTAGTAACCAGATGAAATTCTGGAATTTACAGTCGTTGGTGCTAGATGGCATGCTTTATGTGTTGAAATAAACACTGTTTTTGAAACCTTGTGACTCTGAATGTTTCCAAAATGGCCTTGAAGAGATGAACATTTATAGCAAATGACTGCCTCCCAGAAAGAGCAATTAGAGACTTAAAGAGAAGAATCTGTTCAGGAGGTTCTTTCTTTGGGAGCTTTCTTCTGTCTTTAAGGCTTGCTGTTACATCTTCAGAACACTGTGTCCATATGTGGCACTCGAAGCAGTTTGCCCCAGGCAGTCAGGAGCAGAATGCTCGATGCTTTGGTGGCGATAGGTCGCGCTTTGCAGCTTGCTGTGTGACGTGAATGAACTTCGGCTTTCAACCCCTCACAGAGTCTCCACCTTCTCCCTCCCTGCTCCACTTGTCTTTCTTTCCCAGTGGAGCTCTGCTTTCCATGTGTGGTCCAGCTGGCTTAACCCAGACAGTCCAGCTTAGTACCCACTCCTTACCTGTCCTTCCGCATCACTCACTGCCTCTGGGGACCTGACCCAAAGGAGCGACAGACTAGAGTTAAGTAGTTTGTAGTAGAGTGAAATGGGATCTCAAAACTCATCACTGTTTAATGAGGGCAACGGAGCTGTATTGCAAACGGAGGGGTGCCCTTCAGAGAGCACTCTGGTTGCCAGCTGCATTCCTCACAAGAAAAGCCTGGGAGAACCCCTATTTTGGAAGAGCTCAGTGTTCGGCACATTGAGGCCTGCCTGTTGACAAACAAGGCCCTGTGCTTAGGCTTGTGTTGACCAGGGAGAGTGACTTGGCTGTTTAGACCAGAGCTTGGGGCAGAACTGGACTATGTCCAGAGCGAGCTTGCTCAATGCACACCTGGAATCCAAACACCTGGAAGGTTCAAGGCCATTCTGGGCCACATAGTAACAGGATGGATCTCAAGAATAAATGGCAGGTGCAACAGCTGGGTGAGGTGATGCTGCTAGGTGGTCAGCAGCCAGCGGATCAGCTGTCCAACTTCAGGTGATTGCTAGTGTGTAGAGGAACTGCAAGAGAGATGAGTTAGGGCCCTCTGGAACAAGTAGGTTTGCTGCTGTGCGCAGCGGGGCCTGTAAGCCACTTAGCAGAACTTGGGGAGGGGAAGTTGGCTGGGAGTGGTTACGCCCTGCACTGTGTTAAGTTTGGTGTTTGTTTGTTTGTTTGTTTGTTTTGAGACAGTTTCTCTGAATGTCCCAGAACTTGCTCTGTAGGCACTGTTTCTTTTTAAAAATTTTATTTTCATTTTCTTTTTATTTTATATCTCAAGGGTGTTCCCTCCCTCCTCCCAGTCTTCCCCTCTCCTCCTCCCCATCTCTTTCCCCTTCCCCTCTCCCTCTACCCCCAGAAAAGGAGAGCCCCTTCCCTCTGTATCAACCCTCCCCAGTACATCAAGTCACATCAGGACTGAGCATTTCTTCATCTCCCGAGGCCAGGCAAGGCAGCCCTGCCAGGGGGAAGTGATTCAAAAGCAGGCAACAGAGTCCATGTTAGAAACACATACCCCCTCTGCTCACCAGACAAGCCATATGAAGACCAAGCCACCCACTGGCTACATGTGTGCAGGGGTCCTAGGTCCAGACCGTGCATGCTCCTTAGCTGATGTCTCAGTCTCTGAAAGCCCCCATGGGTCTGGGTTAGTTGTCTCTGTTGGTCTTCTTGTGGGGTTCCTGTCCCCTCCAGGTCCTTCTATCTTTCTCCCAACATTTCCACAGAACCCCCAGAGCTCTGCCCCATGCTTGGCTGCAAGTCCCAGCATCTGTCTCAATCCGCTGCTGGCTGGAGCCTCCCAGACCACAGTCAAGTATGGCTCCTGTCTACAAGCATAGCAGAGTGTCATTAATAGTCTCGGGGCCTGGCTCTCTGCCGTGAAATGGGATAGGCAGTGTTTCTTAAACCGCACTGTGAGGCCACCTGAAACACTTAAAGCAAGCAGAAGCCAACAGCTATGCTAGGCTGGAGCATCCTTCCAGCCCAATTAAACAAGAGGCGTGGTGCTGTTGAGGAACTCCAGATAGCTTTCCTGTTTATCCCAAAATGAGACCCGTCACCATAAAGAAACCTGTGTCTACTTCCCAAGACGAGAGAGCAGAGAGAAGGGAAGAGAACAATTACAAATGAAACGGTCTGTGAGTAGAGTGGCCTGTCAGATTCAGCACACAGAGCTGAATCTGAAAACCTGTGGAACAACTTTAGAAACTGAAATCACTGTTAGAAAAGTCTGTGACGAGGGAGAGGGCATGGGGAAGAGGCATTCTACAGTTCAAAGAGGCAGAGTTCAGATTTCATCACTAAAGACTTGAGTCTCCTCGGTGTTCTGCATAGAACTTTAAAGGCCTTTGTGGCTACATAACTTCGTGCCTCCTCTGCCTTGGTTTGTAACTGTGTCTGTGGGTCATATTTGGTGAAATTGGGTTGTTTTTCATTACCTAAAGAAGTAATAATCCAAAATGGTGGTGGATCTTTTTATACTTCTTTTTCACTCTTTCCTTAAGCTTTCCAGTTAAATTCAGTCATTAAGACTTTGGATAGTCCCACAGCAATGGAGGAGGGAGGGTTCCAGAGTGGGACCTAGAGCTAGGACTGTGGTTCTCGATGCCCCCTCTAGGGGGCATCGTGTGTCTTTGTCTTTAAACACCTTCCAGCAAGGCGTCTGTACAAGTGGGATTTTCTGATTGCAGTCACCCTCAGGGTTTAAAATTTAACTAAATTTGATTTTCAAAACAAGCCTACCCATCAGGAAGGTCCTTGCTGAAGAAAACACCACAGAAGCCCAGCGAGATAGCTTTCCCAGGAAGTTGTAGCTGCTGTAGCTTTCTGTTTCATTCTTTTCAAGCCCTGCCACTCAATGAGGCCGCACGCACACAAATGGGTTTTTGACAAATGGGTTTTTGACAAATGGGTTTTTCTGCCGTTCTGTACACGGAAGAGAGTCTGCAAAGAGTCTGAAACGGTTCTGATTAGTGCAGTTCTGAAAACGAAGTTCACCTTGAACTTTTATTTTTATATCTGGCATGCTTACAAGTACTTAAAACTTCTAATTAGTTTTAACTAGTTCTCTAAATCGGCCTTCCTTCTTCGTTGGAGTAGCAGATTTAACATCAAAAGACAGAGAAGCTTGCCTGTCTGTGGCTCTCCCACAATCCTGCAATCTGAGGGTGGACAGAACTTCACTGAAGGCTAATAGGAAATCCAAATTTTTGTTTTTCACAATTCTGAACGGCAAAGCAGTGAAGGCGGAGCTGTCTGCAGGTGAAGTTGTTGAACCCTTAAGATCCACAGGGCACAGACTGCAGAAGGCCCAGCCACACTTCCGTGTCGAGGACTTTCACTTGCAATAACAAGGGGCAGTTTGTGTAGCGTGCTAGAGCAAATCCTTTACCTGACAGTGTTTCCTCCACGTGCGTTCAGAATGAAGTGTGTCAGGACATAAACCCAAGGACCTCATGATCCAGATTTGATTCCAAGGTCTGTCTGTGATTTACTGCCTATGTGATCTCTGTTCCTTAAACTCTGGGTCCTCCTGTGAGTAGAGGATCATCGTGTTAGGGGCTCAGAGGTTCCCATGGGAATTAAAGTCGTTACCTGTATGCAGTACACCTGGGTACTTGGCAAATAGTAAGTGCTCAGTAAACATCATTACAGTAGAAGTGGAATTACAGGTGGAGACTCGGGAAGCCTGCATAATGCAGGTTGATTTTATCTGCTGCATTGCGAAACCCAGGCCTCTCTCTGAGAGTGTAGAATGCACGTCAGCACCCCTCCCCTATCATAATGGCAGCTGAGGCAGGAGAAGGTGGAGAACACTGATCCACAGAGCTGAGTCAGCCATTTTAGGAAGGTGGGGGAGATCATTGTCATCCACTTAAGAAGACCGGTGTGGAATGTATGTACATTTCTATAGTTTTGTATATTTGTTTGTTTGTTTTTCAGTGCTAGGCTTTGGACCTCCTGCCTTATGTGTACTGGGAAAGTGCCTTACCACAGAGCCTTCTCTTTACTTTTTAATTTGGAGACCAGGTCTTGCTAAGTTTCTCAAACTGGGAATACTTACTGTGTATACTGGGAAGGCCCTAAACTTGTCATACTCCTGCCTCACCCTTCCAAAAAGCTGGTCTCACAGGCCCAGGCCTCCAGGCCTAGCTCATTTTTGTAGTTTTAAAGTAAGTGCCATGAGTGTTAAAAGGCCATGGAAATGGAGGAAGTATTTGTTTCTGAACATGGGAACTTAAATGTGCTTCAGAATCCTCATCCCATTGCTCTGGATCCGTATCCAAGTATTCCTTCTGTGCTTTCTCTCTCTCTGTTAAACCTAAGAGCAGTTAGGTAGTTGTTACCATGGATCAAACCCAGGAAATTAAAGTATAACAGTTGCCAAGGATGCTAAGTCATACTTGTCATCCCAGCACTGGGCCGAAGCAAGAAGAGTAATGAGAGTTTGAAGACAGCTTAAGCTACCTAATTCTGGGCCAGCCTGGGTTATAGGAAAAGATCTTAATCTGTAAATAAGTCACTTCTCTAAGGTCTGGAACTAGGTCTCCCTCCACAAGTATTTTCAGAGCCGACGTGTATTCATTCTCTTTAACGCCTGTGGCTGTCCACAAATAACTAACCTCTTACCGTGCAATAATCCCCAGATTACCTGACTGTACCTATCCAGGAGTTAAGAAAACCTTGACTTTTTGTTTAATTATTCGGGAGGAGGGTGTGTGTGCATGCGCCTGTCATTTGCAGACCTGAGACAAACACTGGAAGTCTTCGGTTGCTCCCACTTGCCATTGTTTTTGAGATTTTATTTTTTTAGTTACTGGTTGTTTCAGTGTGAGCACGCACACATGCGTGCAGGTGCCCGAGGGGCCTGGAAGAGGGCCTCGAGTCCCCGAAGCTGCAGTCATAGGCGTTTGCCAGTGCTGGGCACTGGACTCTGGTCCTCTGTCAGAGCAGCGAGCGCTCTTAGCTGCTAAGCGCTCTCTCTGCATTGAGACAGTGTCTCTCGGTGAACCCAGATCTCGTGGATAGGCCACAGTGGATGGCCAGCAAGG